CCTCTTTCCTCCCCTGCCCCGCCGTGCAGCCGGAGTCAGTTGCAGCCTCTTCGCTTGCTGAATGTAGGAAAACCTGGGAAAGTCATGCAACTTAGTGCTGAAATTCAAAAAAAAATCCAGACTCCGATGGGCTTGTCTCGGTCTCACCTGGCCCCGCTGTCTTTCTCTGTTTCAGTCCCCGCGATGCCGTCCCTCTTCATCAAGGTCCTCAACAGCACCGCGGTCCAGGCCACCTGGGAGCCCTCCATCAAGCTGGGCCAGCACGAAGGCTTCAAGCTCTTCTACCGCAAAGTCCACGTGTCGCCCTACACCGGCCCCGTGCTGCTGCCCAGCAACGTCACCGCGTACAACATCACCCACCTGGGTAAGCAGGGGGACACCCGCGGCGGGGACCCGCTAAAGAGCAGATGCTGCAGCTCTCCCGAGGCTCTCCGGGTGCTGGGACGGTTGCAGGGGTGAAAAGTTTGGCCTGTTGGGTTATTTGCAGCAGCTCCCGTGTGTTGTCCAAATAGGGACCCCCCTGGGGGGAGAAGCCGGAGGTTTGGGCTCTGTAACGCCCTTCTTGTGCCTCTCTCCGAACAGACGCGTCCGTGGTGTACGAGGTGAAGCTCCTCGCCTACAACCAGCACGGGGACGGCAACTCGACCGTGCGCTTCGTGTCCCTGAGGGAATCCGTGGAAAGGACGGGTGAGGAGCGCCCGGGCACTGCCGGGGAGGGAAGCGGGAGGCCCCCGGGAGCGATTGCTGACCCCTCTTTTCCCCTGCCAGTGCTGAACCCGCCCTGCGACTGCATGAAGGACGAGCAGAGCAATAAGACCTCCACGACGGGCATCATCATTGGGATCCACATTGGCGTCACGTGCATCATATTCTGCGTCCTCTTCCTCATGTTTGGCTACAGAGGAAGGTAGGAGCCGCCGATGAGGCTGCTTGTGGGGCAGCAGTGGGACTCACCCCACGCGCAGGGACACCGGGGCCTCCCACCTCAGTGCGGTCCCGGCCAAAGAACCTGGTGCTTCCCGGGAACGTCAGTGTTTCTGCTTCGACTGTTCCTCGTAAAGCTCCGACTGTCCCTGTGAAGCACAGGGTGTGAGGGGGGGAGATGTGAGCGTAGAAGAGGGACCTGCCTAGGGAAGGAGCGTGGTGCAGAAATCGGGCGGATTTGGGGATGGCGGCGCCGGCTTCGCTCACCTTTTGGCTCTGCCTCTGCGTGAAGCACAGGGTGTGAGGGGGGGAGATGTGAGCGTAGAAGAGGGACCTGCCTAGGGAAGGAGCGTGGTGCAGAAATCGGGCGGATTTGGGGATGGCGGCGCCGGCTTCGCTCACCTTTTGGCTCTGCCTCTGCGTTTCCCAGGCTGCTGATGTGCA